GGTCTAAGTGCGATAGAAGGCGGGGACGTGTGAGGGGTGGACACGTTCTTTTCCTTTTTTTTTTTGGTCCCCAGTTGCACCTTTATTATTTTTTTTTTTGCTCTTTTTTCTTCTTTTTTTTTTGCGCTTAGACACTTTTCCGAAACAATTCCCGTAGGAGGACCAGGTTCCAGATTTCCCAAATTTCCCAGATTTCCCAGATTTCCCAGATTTCCCAGATTTCCCAGATTTCACCGATCTAGCTGGTTTGGCAACGCAGGTTCGGGACTTGGTTCGAGGTCCCAGGTTCGGGACCTAGCTCGGGACCAAGCTCGGGACCAGGTTCGGGACCAGGTTCGGGATCCAAGTTGGAGGTCGAAGTCTCAGTTTTCACCGATCTTCCGACTTTTGGTACCAGGTTCGGGACCAGGTTTGGCACCAGGGGGTTCGGGACCAGGAGGTTCAGGACCAGGTTTGGCACCAGGGAGTTCGGGACCAGGTTTGGCACCTGGGGATTCGGGACCAGGAGGTTCGGGACCAGGTTTGGCACCAGGGGGTTCGGGACCAGGCTTGGCATCAGGTTCGGGATCTCAAGTTCCATCCAGATCGGAGAGCGATTTGTGAAGATGGGTGTGACTTCAAGCAGGCCTGAAGAAATCGCAGCCCTGGCTCAATCGCTTGGGAGAAATTACAGACCCCCTCTGGGCCCGCCAAGAAAAGGGAATTGCTTGGTATATTTCGATATTCGAATGGGAAGATTCGGGGATGGGATCCCGATCGGCAGAATTGTATTTGAGGTAAGAGTGACTTTGGGGGAGACCCACTTCCTATTTTCCTTCTTTTTTTTTTTTTTTTTTTTTTGGCAAAAGGTGGATTCTTCCATCCAATGCATCCCGATACACCTTATTTGTTTATTATCGACTACTGCCTTTTTTTTTTTTTTTGCCGCTTCCACCTTTTCCCCTTTATTTTTATTTTTTTTAATTCCCCGCTTTATTTGTTCGTTATCCATTTTAGTTTTGTGTTTGTGCACTACTTTTTTTTTTTTTTGTTTTCCCATCCACTTTTTTTTTTGCCTTCTCATTTTGCCTTCCAGACCTGCTAATACCGTAACCCCGCCCTCACCAAACCTTGAGTTTTCTCCTTGTCTTTTTTTTCTTTCGATTTTTTTATTGTTTGTGGTTTATATCTAGGGCCGAGGTCCCACTAGCAGAAAGGATAGGATCGAGATTTTGAATCTGGATGTGTTTTATGCAGAGATGCAGAAAAGCAGTTCAATCTCGATTTCCTGCACATGTCCATAATCTCGTCCAGATTCAGGCATTCGCTCCCATCCTCTTTGCTAGTGGGACCACGCCCTAGATGTCGGATGGAGAGACTGCCGTCTCCTCTCTTATGTGTCTCCCTCTCTCACAGTCTTTCCTTCATTTCTTTTTTTTTTTTTCACTTTTTTTTTTCTCTTCTTTTTTTCCCTTCATTTCTCTCTCTGATCGTAGTCGCCAAAAAAAGATTGAAAATTTTGAAATTTGAATTTCTGAGATTTAGTTGAAATGAACCTTTTGCAGCGTGGTCACACTCGGGCCGTGAGATTCTCAGATCCGATGCCGGGGACGCACTAGGAAAAAAAAAAAGGTATGGATTAAGCGCCTGAATCTGGATGTGTTTTACGCAGACATGCAGAAAAAAAAACAGGTCAGTCGCAAATTTTCGCGCCTCTACCCAAACACGTCCAGATTCAGGCATTAAAATTCAACCCTCTCCGAGATTCTCAGATCGGATGGCAGGCACCCGGGCCGAGGTCCCATTAGCAAAGAGGATCGGATAGAATGCCTGAATGTGGACCTGTTTTACGCAGAGATGCATAAAAGCAGTTCAATCTCTATTTCCTGCACCTCTCTACAAACACGTCCAGATTCAGGCATTCAATCCGATCCTCTTTGCTAGTGGGACCACACCCCCGTGTATACTCGAAACAACTACTAGGTAAAAAAAGGCTTGTATAAACCGCCTGAATCTGGGTGTGTTTTACGCTGACAAGCAGAAACGCAAGTCAATCACCATTTTTGCACCTCTCGCCAAACACGTCCAGATTCAGGCCCCTAAGGACTAAATGGGCATTGCTAGTGGGGCCTCCCTCCGGAACGGGTCCGAAGGACTAAATGGGCATTGTTTTAATTTTCTCAGGAAATTAAAATGCCATGTATAATTTGATAATTCGAAGGTTTCTCTTATATATCAAATGATTATATTGTTTTAATTTTCTCCGGAGAGTCCGCAGCTTTCTCAGGCGACCTTTGAAAATTGGATTACCGGGGGCAAGGTCCCACTTGCACGGATTAAGAGATCCTGGCCGTTGATCTTTGCAATCTACGGTCAATGCGGCGTAATTCGTGTAAGTGGGACCTAGCCCCGGGTTGAATTATGAGGACTCTTTCGTTCTGGATCCATTTCTCTGGAGCCGGGACCAACTATTTTTGGTAGCATCGAGTAAATCGGTGTGTGGCGTTCTTTTCTCATTTAAAAACGCATAAACAATGCTTTTTATCATTTACACGAATGCAAAGAAAAGGACCCGAAAAACGAAAAATTACGGGGCCTGACATCGACATCATGACAGAACTTCAGTGCATCCACACTTGGCCTGACATCTACATCATGACAGAACTTCAGTGCATCCACACTTCCACCAACCCGGTACATCTGCATGCGACCTTCCCCGCCGGCCTGTTCCCAGTCTTCCACGGAAATCTCAATATTCTCTATTTTACCACATAAAAAAAAGAAAACAACATAGATGCAACCCCCCCCACCGACCTCCCTAATATTGCAGCTTCGCGCCAACGCAAAGTGGCTAGCTAAATGGGCAAAAAAATGAAAACGAAACTCTTCTATTGGCCGGCGGACAGATACCCTACCGAATTCAGTCCTTATCGCCCTGCGCCGACAATACACAAAAGGATCAACGGTTGCCGGATGTCACCTCTCGCCGTGGTTGAAAACCATGGAGCTGAAGCGTAAATCTATGCTAGTGGGTCCCGGCTCCTGGAAAAAAAAAAAAAGAAAAAAAAAAAGGACCTTTCTCGGAAAAAAAAAAAAAAGGACCTTTCTTGGCCTTTTGGCTAAGATCAAGTGTAGTATCTGTTCTGATCAGTTTGATATCTGATAAACAAAAAAAAAAAGAAAAAAAAAGGAGGATTACATCACCTCCGGCGGGGCTAAGTCCCACATGCACCGTTGGGCCAGTTCAACGTTGAAGTTACGTTGAACTAGCTCAACGTGTGTGACCCCACGCGATGTCTGAGATGCATCCGGAGCTGCACATCCAGCGGTTGTTCCTAGGTGTATAAAATACAAAAGACTTTCGTTTTTGTTTTTTGGTTCAAGAAAGGTGGTAAAAAATCCCTCCGCCCGAATACAATGCCCCCTACCCTGCCCATTTTCCGTTGAACTACATACCCCCACTTGGAGTGGGGTATGGGCTCAACGGTACGGTGCTTGTGCCATCATGACCTTCTGTGGGAGGACACTCTGACAACCGAGGGAGGACACTCTAACAGAGAGTGTTCATGCTCTGTTTGGCTGTGCAGCCCCAAACTCGTTTCTGCGAAGGCACCAACCCAGGATTGCTGTCTACGTTCATTTCATGTTGTAGTGAGTCCCTGTCTCCGATGTTGCATAGTATGCGGAGCCTTTCACTGAGGATTGTTGTATTTTCGATTTTACTTTTCAGAAAATACGGACAAACATTTCAGTAGCATTTTGTTATTCATTTTTTTTTGGGAAATAGGGGGAAAAAAGCTTTCTGCAGTACTTCCTAAAGTCGCGTGTTGTAGTGAGTCCCTGTCTCCGATGTTGCATAGTATGCGGAGCCTTTCACTGAGGATTGTTGTATTTTCGATCTTACTTTTCAGAAAATACGGACAAACATTTCAGTAGCATTTTGTTATTCATTGTTTTTTGGGAAATAGGGGGAAAAAAGCTTTCTGCAGTACTTCCTAAAGTCGCGTAGCGTTAACGCCATGCAATTTTAGGAAACGTACGGGCCACTACAGGAGCGCCCAAATTCATCCAACTAGAAACGTTTCTACTCTATTTTTTTTCTGCGGCCGATAGCTGGGCCAAGTACTTGTGGTTTAAGTAGCAAACACCGTGTCACATTGCGTTGAGCTAGTTCAACGGTGCATGTGGGACTTGGGCCCCGGGGGCGAGTTGGCCAAGTACTTGTGGTTTAAGTTGCAAACACCGTGTCACACCGTTGCGTTGAGCTAGTTCAACGGTGCATGTGGGACTTGGGCCCCGGGGGCGAGGTCCCACTAGCAACGGGATAGGATAGAAACGAGTTTGTGGGGCAGTTGAGTGACCCACATCCTATGATCCCACGGTCAGTACTTCACATGTATAACCCGAAAATGAAGGAGATCTGTGTTCCCCTCCTCCTCTCCTTAACACTGGGCATGCCCGTGCAAAGAAAGCTTCCCGCCATAATCTTTTCAATCGGTTGGGGGTGTGGCCAACCCCAAACGAGGTTGGGGTAGGCCTTAGCCCACTGGATAGAAGATTTTCAGCATTTTACTTGCTGTTGTGCAATTATCTCATTTGGTGGAGCCCTCCTTCAATCACCGAGTATATGGAGGGTGTCAGGAGGATCACTGCTGACAGAAGTCCAGTTTATTCCAGAAAATGTGGCGGTTACTTTGTTCACTGTTTTTGCAACCACCACCACCATCAGATGATTTGTGATCTGATGGCTGGGAAGCACTCTGCCGTGATTTCCGGTGGGAGGTCTCTGTTTCTTTCTTTTTTTTGGCCTTTCTCCTGTTTTCTCAGCCCATAAATTCGTAATGCTCCCCTTCATTGTGGTTGACCGAGGGTCCACAGGAGACTACTATGGGAGCTCCGAAACCAATCCCGAAGGGAAGATTGATTTTCCCGCAGTTCTTTTCATGTTTGCCTTTGGGTTCTCTTTAGGCACGAAGTGCAACCATCTAAACTCTATAAGCAACTTGTCAGAAATTGATCTTAGATTTCTGGCATTATATTATAGTGGACTCCTTCCTGAGCCTTTGAGAACATTTACCTACGGACTGTCTGGCCGCTGCCACTCTGTGTCCCACTGGATCGGCCACACTCCTATCCGACTGCTAACTTCGACAACGACTACGAGTACTGGAGCGAGGTCCCACTAGCAAAGGGGATTGGATAAATATCCTGAATCTGGACGTGTTTTAAGCGGACATGCAGAAAGTAGTTCAATCTCGACATTCTGCACCTTTCCACAAACACGTCCAGAACCAGGTCTTCAATCCTATCCTCTTTGCTAGTGGGACCTCGCCCCTGGCTGGGGGTTTAAACCGCCAGTACTTCCTAGAGTGGTGCCGGTTAATTAACAAGCCACGATGTTTGGAAACGTAAGGGCCACTACAGGAGCGCCCAAATTCATCCGACTAGAAACGTTTCTACTCTATTTTTTACTATTTTTTACTACGGCCAATAGCTGGGCCACAGAGTACTGGTGGTTAGGGTTTGATCCCACCACTACACTACAGCCCAGTTACAGTGTAGTTTTCGGATCCCACCACTTTCCGACGTCGTCGCCACTTTCCGATGTCGTCGCGGCCGCCAAAATATTTTGGCCGCCAAAATATTTTTCCATACTTCCGTTTCGGTGTGTCGTGGCAGCACGTCCGCGAAGGGTGCAAGTGTAGTTACTACAATTTTTCTGTAGACCGTGAGGGCATCTCTGCAGCGAAAAAGAGGGAGCATTTTTTTTTTTTTTTTTTTTTTTTTTTGTGCCTTT